ATGCATAAAATCAGAAAGGAAAGTGATAAAAATGATAAAGGCCTAAAAGTGTGGCCATCTGCCAGATCTAGTTAAAGACTGAAGTAAAGAGAAATGTTTTTAGTTTTCTTTCACCCAACACAACAGAGTTGGTGTTATGTTCCATTACATCCAGGTGATCCTTGTACGAAGACGTCAGTACGGCTCTGTGACGACCTCTGCTGGAGCCTTATTGTCAGAACAATACTCCTCCATTGTGTGTTTGTACATTTCATACCGAACGACAAGGTGAAATAAAGGAACAACATTACCGTTCAGTGACAAAGCTTCACCTCAGACTCAAACCCAGAGACCTGGAGGCGACCAGAAGCTCACAGATGACTCCCATCCAGATGTTTTCAGATGCATCCAGAGCTTGAGATGATCTGCCAGGCAGACTGCCATAAACTGCAGAAGTCCATGTTTATTCCATAACTCCCCACAGAAGACACAGAGCTGCAATCACTGCCAAAGGGACTTCGACAAAGTACAGAATACATGATGTGAATATCTTTGTATGAAATATGTTTTTTATAAAATCCATACAAGTAAAATAAATTTGTAAACATTTATATACAAATGATCTTTATTGGGTGCAGGCCGATGGAAAAAGCCACTCTACATAGGAAGGTATGCTGACTTTGAGAGTTTACAGTCAGCTCCTCCCCTGTGTAGCTTAGGGTGTGTGGACTGACAAAGCAAACAATGCACTGGTACTCACTAGTCAAGCTAAATCAACAGGGCCCTTTGATGACACTGCTAACTAATGATTAACATGACAGCCACATGGAAAGGTACCGGAAAAAAATAGGATGAGAGAACCAGAGAACCACTTCAAAACGTCTCCCTCAATTTGTCTGCATTTTTTTTTTAAACATATCTTCAAATGTATATTTATAATTCATTTGAAACTAAAATGTATTGCAACACACAATACATAAAGAGGTTTGACCAATCACTCCCAACATGTATCAACTAGGCGTGGTTCCACCACAGGCCCTTGTTATTTCACCACTTGCAGGAGGATGTGAGGATGAAGATCCCTCCATCTATCATCTTGTGAAGCATCTTAAAAATCAAACCCCAGATACTCTGCAGTGGATGGACTTGACTTCAGTGGAGCCCAACATCACCAGGTATTTATTGTACTGTTCTGTATGAGTTTTTGTTTCCATTTAGGATTGTTTTTCTCTTTTTATTACAAATCTGCCTGCTGATGTGATCTCTTAATATGTGTGCCAAAAACTGATAGCACCAGCTGGAGTGTCAGCACTGAGTTTCATATGTGTAGAAATGGGTTATCACTGACAAATATTTGCTATGCTATGGAGGCATTGCATAGGAACACATAGAATGCCAATGTTCTGGATACACAGCATACTGTATATACCATTTGAGTATTAACACTATTTGTCCCATTGGAACTATCTACTTTGCACTACAATCAACCACAACTACCTCCTCTTGTAGCTCTTTGCACTATTTTGTATAGTTTTTAACATACTGTAAACATGCTTATTTTATTGTTCTATTTTATTTCTTTTTTCACTAAATGCACCACTACTCAACTGCTACCCTCTGCATAGTGTGAGTATGTGGTCATTCTAATATTTCAAAATGCACACAGAGATATGTTATGAGCGTGCAAAGAATCTTTAAGACTATGGAGAAGTTAGTTTATTCCTACCTGAGTGAAATAACCTGGAAGTATTTCAGCAGCTGCCATAATACGAGCTGTTTGAATTCTCTAAATCATAAGGAGAGGAGCTTCAATACTTCCTAACTTAACTCCTTTAGCATAGGAAACACTGAACCATCCTTTATGAAACGAAAGGAGAAAATGCCATCCCACAATTTATCGCAGCAATATTTAAAACACTGCAGTTACACCAGACCCACGTAGATGAAGTAGTAAATTTTAAAAAAGCTGTTTTATTGTCGTGACACCATCCAGAACTCCGGATTTCTCCTCCGTCATATCTGTCTGGTCAGGCGTCACAGTGAGCAACAAACTTAAATGTATAGATCACAATATCGTCATCAGAACTAAATAAAAATTCTATACATACCAAAATATATAGAAGATTGTGTGATGCCCACAAAAAAACATTCCACTTATATAAGGTTTTCTCCACGTACATTCCTCGTGTTTTTATATTTTTTCAACTTTTCTGTCCTGTTTGTTTTGTTTTTATTTCAAATATGTATTTTGATGTTAGTTCTTTTGAGTAACTGATGTTTAAAGATCAAGATGGTGCTGCGGATGGCAGCCTCGGTACTGCACTACACTTTTTCTGTTTCCAGCTGTCCCTCTCAGATCACATTCAGCAGGGAGGAACTTTTAAACATCTGACAATCCACTCATACTTGTACATAGTGGTTAAATGTTTGCTTAACCTTGTTCTGCTTTATTGTCCTTGTTTTTTTAATTTATCTATTTCTGTACGTTGAGAGCAACGGAAAAACCAGAGTCAAATTCTTTGTATGCGTTTGATACATGGCCAATAAATAAAGCTGATTCTGATTCTAAATGTTTCCTCCGTATAAACTGGAAACATCTGTTTAGTCATTTGGTTTTAAGCAGGTAACCTCAGTTTAACGGTGGGTGCACAGCTCAGAGTTAAACACTGTATCACACAGTCTGTGTATCTTCAGTCATAAAGTTGTTTCTTACAAAGTGTAAATGGAGTAATATTATCTTGTTTCCTAACTCCTTACTGCTTTTCATTCACGTTTCCCAGACCACATGACGTTTCCTATTGGAGTCAAGGAATAGCAGTTAGGAAAGGAGATTATTTTAATTATCCTTCTGCAGCCCTCTTCTTTGCATTTCTGGCAGACAAGGCAGAGGAAATGCACTCGACTCTTATGGGCTGCGGCTAAGGGCTGAGTGGTCGTCCTCTTACCAGAAGGTTGGTGGTTCGATCTCAGTCTTCCTCATCTGCATCCCGAAGTATCATTGGATAAAATACTGAACCCATAACTGCGCCTCATAGAAAAGATGAATGGAAATAAACTGTACTGTAAAGTGCTTTGAGTGGTCATCAAACCTAGAAAAGCTCTATATAAATAGACGATTTATTAAAACCTTTAAACCATTAGATTAGCTTCCACGCCACCTCACAGAACAGAACAGAACAAAACACATATATGCCTTTTATCATTTATTAAACTGTGATGGAGGTGATTGCTGGAAACACATCTCAACTCCTGCTAAGAGTTTTAAGAGAGAGGAAGGGTTGTAGGGGAAGAGTTTCTTTGTCTGCAGCCTTGTCACCACCTCTCTGAGCTCCGACAGACAGGCGACCACTCTGGCTAATGTCTCACAGGAGCCCTGTCCTGACAGACTACATGATCTCTGCCTGCTCGGTAACCTTGGCGGTGAAAGCCCCTCTGCTTCCCGTGTTGATGTAGGTTCACTCAGAAATCCTGTTGAGTTGCATGACTCAGATTGTTTCTGTGTGGTTGATAGCGGAGTTCTACCTCTTTCCCGTTTTACAGACGCCCCTGGTTCATCTTCACAAATCTCCATGCTCTCAGGATCAGACTCCCCAGAGCTGTCATACTCCACAAGGCGAAGCCCACTGGCCAAACTGACCCCTTCCACTGGTGGAATAACACATGTGGGCTGAGCACAGGTGCTAGATTCAACACGTTCTGGCTCAACTTTAAATGTCAGAGCAGGTTTATCACCACCGCATAAGCGAGCAAGTGATTCCTGCAGTGAAACATGACAGTGGGACTCTGTGTCTCTTTCACATGCTGCGGTGAAACCCTGCCAGTCAGCTTTGAGGTATTTGAGGTACCGCACAAAGTACTCCAGAAAGCAGGTCTCAGAGGAGATGAGGAAGTCGAGGAGGGTGCTGTGATCGAAGGAGACGCTCTGGAGCAGAAGCAGGAAGTGGCAGTGAGGGTTGCAGCCAGAGGAGCAGGCTGCCTCCAGCTCAGCCAAATCATCCACCCCAGAACAGAGTCTGCAGGGAGAGACGAGCAGTTCAGTTAGCTCATTTTCAAAACCTGCTGAGAGGATTTCCCTGATTGATGGATCTTCTTCGATAAAGTCATGTTACACATCCGCCCAGAGAATATCTTCCTAATCTACCATTCACATCTGTTGAAGTCTGCACAGATGAAAAATTTACATTAATCTACTGCTTTCCTACATTTCCTTCTTCCAGGTCATGTGGACTCACCATCGTTATTATTGACCAAACATGTTTGGAAGAAGGTTTTCAACACCACGTTTAACTGCAGCAACTTTCTTATGGAAAGATATACACCTGTACAGTGTTGTTAATGAAAATCACGAGAACACATGAAAACATACAGTATCAGTGGAGGGGTGATTCCACACCAGCTTGCAGTTGTGAAACATAGGGTCGCTCACACTTTGGGATAAATACGTTCACTCAGGAGAGAATTGCACCAACCAGTGTAGTTGACTGCAAAGAAGCTTTGTGAGACAACCAGTGAAGAGTGTTTTCCTGATGTATTATTCATGTTTACATTAGGTACAGTGACAGCTTAGTGATTTATCTAAATCTGAAGTTGTTAATGATACAGTGAAGATATTTATACATGGATGTATTAACGGGGATTTATTTGACTTGACACAGTGTAGTGTCTCTGCACCACACCCTTAGTCATGTTAAATTAAAAGTACATTAATGCGAGGGAGGGAGTTTTTCTCTCCACAGTCTCCAAAGTGCTGCTCGTTGTGGGAACTGTTCGGTTTCTCTATATTAATATGATTTTAAGGTCTTGACCTTCTATGTAAAGAGCCTTGAGATAATGCATATTATGATTTGACGCTAGGCAGATAAAATTGCAAATGATTTGGGGTGAATTCTTAAAGGAAGTATTGATAGACATAATTATAATGCACAAGGTTAGAGGGCTCGTTGTAAATGTACAACATTAGTTCTCTGAGAATCTCTTTCATATCCAAGCAAAACTGGTAATTGTAACTGAAAAGTCTCAGTGACTGAATCCATAGTGAACCAAATGGTGTCAAAATCTCAACCTTGTAATTTGGAGATTCCTTAAAGCTCCTCACCAGCTTTTAGCACCACCACAAGTATAAACAGGAAATCACATGGACCTTCATAAGATCCACACGTCTGGTCCAACTTGTATTCAGTCAGCAGTGGTGGCTGTTTAATGTTCAGTGGCTGTTTTTACATTCTTTTAATCATGATAACATTACGCCCTCACTCTTGATTTCTTTTTTGCAGATAAATCTCATGTTAAGTCTCTGAACTCCTTCATATCCCACAGTGAAGGAACACAAAACATAATTTAAAAATCTGGATATTTATTTATATATCTTATTATTCATACTTTCACTGCATTGGTTTAGAGATTGAGTCATTTCATGGGACATATATGGGATTATATTTTGAAACATCTCGTATTAACACATTTTTACTATTTTCTCTATTATTTATTATTTGTATTAGCATATTTTTCTTATCATTTTATCTGTTGTTGTTTTTCTTATCATTACTCCTAAATGCAGTAATTATTGCTGTCATGTTGTTGATAACATAATGTAATTACACCTATAGATATTATTATTTGCATTATATCCATATTTCTTTTAACAATTTCTCATAAGGCATCATGAGGTAACGTTGTAAAAAAAACATTTCAGACAAATCAATATCCAAAGCTCAGCATATTAGATCCTAGGGCGTGTCTTTAGGTGATCTTTAAAGATACTAAATCGAAAAATGAATATCAACCTTCAGAAATCCATATGAGTAAAACAAGTTTCCCCATTAACTTTGTCTGCGTGACATGTTGATAACAACAAATGACACATCTGTTGTACCTGTGATGGAGGAATATGGAGAGCAAGGCTTTAGCTGCCTCCATCATGTCGTCGTCCTGCTCTCCGAACAGCAGACTGACCCAGCAGCAGAGGTGAGTGACTTCTGTCAGCTGGACACTGCACCGCCTCAGGAAGCCCCACAGACTCTGTAGATACCCATAAACCTCGGTGGCACTGTCCTGCTCTGCTGTGGGAGAACACAGCGAAGGTATTAGCACAGCTTCTCAACTCATATGTGAGCGGGCCGCCCCCTGCTGTGGACATGATGCAGTACAGAATGTCACAATTCCTCTAACTGCAACAACAACAGACTCACAAAGACACAAGTGTTGTTATGTTGATTTGCCATTACAGAATCTGGAAAGACTCCAATTATCTGTTTCTCAGAAATCTGCACATCCTTCGCAGCAGTATCATCTTCACCGCCCACAATTACCAAAATCTACAGAAAACTTGTAACACTGATACATTATCATCATTTGAGGGACACAAAGAGCATAATATAAAGTCTAGAAAAATTACACAATCTGAAGTGAGATGCAAGTCAAGCCATCAGAGCTACTACAAAGCTGTCCCTGCTAATAGAGATATTGAGGGTAATACAGATATTTTAAGTATAAACCGAGCCCGAGTACCGAAACCAAATATAAATACAGATTTAAAGATACATAAATGAAACAAGTCAAAATTTGTGCATTAGACTAACGTAGTTTGTAAATTAGGGTACAACAGATGTTGAGGGTATTTTAAAACTGAAAATAGTGAAAGAATCGAATACAACTATAGAACTGGAGATATTAAAGATATAGAGATCAAATAGATAAACATAGGCAGTGATGGTGACAGTCTGGCAGCCTGGTGACAGATGTGGGTGATTAATGCATTTAATCACTCTCATTTCACCATATCTGAGAGAACATGTAAAACATGGCCTGAGGGATAAAGGATCTCCTCAGTCTGTCTGTCGAGCAGGACGGAGACAGCAGTCTGCCTCTGAAGTACTCCTCCAGGCAGTGTGCTGTGCAGGGAGTGTTGAGAGATGTCTAGCAGTCTGTTTAGGGTCCTTCTTTCTGCCACTGATATGAGGGATTCCAGCTCTCCTCACCAGTCTGTCCATAGACTGGATATAAAGATGGAAAACAAGTCTTCACATCCTCCCACCATCCAGAAATGAAGCCAAAAAATCCTGCACACGAAGCTGCGACCCTGCTCATATAAAACCAGTGTCTGTACAGTAGCAATTGTGGGATGGAGCCGAGGTGACAAGTTCTCACACATGCTTGGGCTGCTCAGTATTAGGAAAACGTGCGTTATGCGATAAAGTTGCTTAATATCACGATGACGATATGACTTGTGATAAATAAACACAAGGAGTCCTTGGCTATGGATGCAGTGCCCACGGACAGCTCGGACCCGGTGGCACAGCCTGGCTGCAGTGCCACCGGGTCCGGTGCAGAAACCAGTAAAAGCATCAATCATTATGTGATGATCAGTATCACTGATATTGTGGCGACATTTCAAATGAATCAACTTTTAAACTGTAGCGAGTCAGAGAGAGACAGAGCAGCAGATTCAGTGTGTGTGCACTGTTACTTTCCCCTCTGGGATCATAAGTAAGCTTCATAATTCTTTTATGTGATCAACTCCTCATATTGATGAATCTGACACGAGAGCACTAGAAGTTTCCACAGTAGAGTTTAGCTGGAGGAGGTGGAGCGACATTTGACGAAGCCGCCTCGCTCCGTTCAATCTCTGTTTTCCAATTCTCTGTTTTCTCAGTTTACTTTTCTTCCAACAATTATTCACTGACAGAAAACCTGTTTTTTCATCTAGGACAGCAGGGCTCCATCTGATCGGCCAAACATATTGACATGCAGAGTGTGAATGCGTGGCCCAAGAAACATCATTTATCGCAGTTTGATGCGTCTGTTGCACACATTGATATCGCGATGACGATAGATTCTCGATACATCATGCTGCCATACACGCGCTCGACCAATCGCGACTCAGCTGTCAATCATGACGGTTCAACCCGTTTTTATAGCATCAACTAACAAATTCAAACCAAACTTACTGGATAAATGAACACATGAACATATATCAGCGTAATAAGAATGATCTAAAGTCAAGGAAACTATTTGACGCACTTTCCCTTACACTTACATCTCCATTAAGGTTGGTCATTGTTTTTTGGGTTGTTGCTGAGATGATTCAAGTGAATTGAATTAATTCGGGACCTTTTCTTCTGGAGCAGATGCCGATACCCAGCCCAAATTGCTTCCACCTCTGTAGTCATCTCTTGGTAAGTTAAGAAATGAGGTTTGATTCTGAATATTTCCTCTTGACTGTAGGTAAACCTGTTGTTGCAAATATTTGATATAGGGATAACTAAAATGCACTAATAGCTCATTTAACCCAGCAACAAAAAGCACATGCAGTATACACAGATCAGCAACAACATGTAGCTGCTTTGAACAATCTGTGTGTAACAGAGTTGTGTTTCATTGTGGATCCTCACCTGTTCTCCCAGCCGTTTGTATATGAAGCTCCATGGACTTGAGAAGAAGCAGACTGACACCTCTCAACATCACGCAGTCTGGTTTCTGACCATCATCCCCTCGGATGTGTCTGGTCCCCCCAAAGAAAGAGACAGACCCCACTTGGACACTCTGCAACCAATCAGCAGCCACCGCTGTTAACACAGTCTGAGCTAGCATGTTCATATCAGAGCGGAAATGCTCATGTCTCTGTCTGGCGGACAGCACGTCTTCTGGAGCCCAGTCCTCTCCAGCCTTCTGAAGAATGAGTCTCTTCAGAAGCAGCAGGGCTCGCTTTTTCACAAAATACTCTGAGGAGCAGCTGACTGCAGTCAGGAGCGCTGAGGAGTGAATGTGGGCTAATCTCGGACTCTTCAGACCAGCTACGGAGATCAAACTGGATGCAGTCAGCGCCTCCAGCAGGTCCAGCAGGAGACAGAATGTTGTTCCCCAGGCTCTGCTGCTGGACTCCATCAAAAGCTGTTGGTTTTCAGGGAGAAACCTTGAACATAAAGCACTGAGGCTGGAGTCAAAAGGTGCCAGAAGTTTCCAGAGGATCTCTGAGGGTATAAAGATGTAACATGAGAAGAGTTATCTTACAGTTAGTGTACCAACATTCTACATTTCAACATTGTAAACTAGATATCTTTGGATTTTGACTGGGGAAATTTTGAAGCTTAAAAAACAACTACTAATAAATAATTTCTAAGCTGTAGCCCCTCTTTTGACTGTGTATTTAATATCCCTATCATAAAGCTTCACATATTAACTGACTTACTGTGAGCAGTTGATCATTTTTTGGTTTGTTCTTGCTGTTACAAACTATCTATCTAATAAAATGACATAGGTTTAAACTACTCTTAATCCAAGAGCGATGCATGGTCACCATCCTGCTCTGCTACCACAGGGTAAATTGCTGGGGCCCAGCCAAAAGAAGGCCTCAGAGGAAATTTGATCAGCAGGAACGATCTTTTGAGAAACCAAAAAGTTTCATAATTTTACAGGTCTGGGTGAGGACTAGAATGTCTCTCGCATATCGTGTTTCTTGGGGCTACTGCTGTTTGTTACCTCCCACAACTTGAACTTTTTCAGACACTGAACAGCTCAACTCACTGGATGGTAGTTAATATCATTAGTGACCATTAAGTCTCTTCTCACATCATCTTTGGGCCCACATTGTCAGCGCTGATCTCACTGATATCACTGATCAGATTGTCTTCGACAGACAAAGCAAAACAAAGCCCTGAATTACAGAAATAAGAAGAACATAAACGTATCTGAGCTTCTATTGGCTGAGGACCTTAATGTTCAGCTTGCAGTGGGTTGACACATCAGCAGAGTTCAGCTGTCACTCAGACCTACATGAAACCAACTATCTTTACCTTGAGGAGCTGTTCTGAGGAGTCTTTTTAAGACGTCAGTCAGTGACCACAGACAAGCGTCCAACTCAGCAGCGGAAGGTGAGCTGAGAAATGCCTGTACACACTTCTGCTGCCAGACGGGACTGACTGTTCCCTGAGAAATGAAAATATTAATATATAAAATAATGACATATATTAATGTTTTTATTTGATGTATAAAACTCACATGTAATGTCAGAACTTAAGTACAACATGCAAGGGACCAATAAACAGGAAGTACAACTGATTTTATTGAAACTTGGGTCAGTAAAGAACTCATTGCATTTTGGAGCAGTTTAGTGCAGCTTGCAATTTGAAGGGACTGTTGGGTCTTAGTTGACATCTGCGCTCCACTGAGTAACATTCTTGATTTGTTCTACACAAATTAAAAAACATATCTTCTTGACTTTTTGCTCTGAAGCTAAGGGGACTCCAACTGCACAATATAAGCCAGTGTAACAGGCCTCAAGGGACCACTGGAGCTGGTTAACATGTTTTCATGAGTCCTCCATATAAAAATCCTTGAACAGACATGTTCCATGGAGGAAGCCCCATCTCTCTAAAAGAATGAGCACTGTTCACCTGACGTTTGCCAAAGAGCAGACTCACACAAGGCTGGTGTCACCTTGAATCTACCTCTTTGTATAAGAGGTATACTTTATGAACAAAATTGCCTTTTCCCACCCACAGTGTGAATTAATGGGTGTTAAATAAAGACACACCATCTGTTATTGTCTGTGTCATGTCTTAACTTGCAACTTGGATGATCTGTTAAAATTTGATGAGCTTTTCTGTTTCTCTGTCCAATATTTATTTGAAGGTTCATGATCCAGAGACAATAACATGTCTTGTGCATAATTTCCTTAAATTCAGCCAGTAATTCAAATTAACTTTCAGGAATCCAGAAATTAAACTTGAATACAACACAGCCCAGATGAACCAGCTGCTGCACTGATGTGGTCAAAGAAAGTTTCCCAGTAAAGGCATGGTGGCCCTGAGGAGTCTACTCACAGATTTGAGGAGCTGATAGACTACACACGATGATGCACTCTTCGCAGCCAGATGAGAGACAATCTGGTCCTCACTCTGGAAATGATGCACCTGTGGACGGATTTTAACAAAACACGATACATTGGTGAGTTCACCTCCCGGGCGCCGGAGGAGAGTGTGGTCATTCTTTGTGATTCTGACTGTGACATTGATTGTCTTCAATGTTGCGTTCTGGCAACACATGTGAACGTCCTGCATTCAGAGGACTGAAAGAGGATGAGGATGTGGGACTCACCAGTTGTGTCATGAGATCCATGTCCCGGAGCAACAGTGTCAGGGTGTCCGCGCAGTACTGTGTGAGCTCTGCTGCGGGTCCAGGCTGCCTCTGAGACACCAGGCAGGTCAGCATCTCCACCAGAGACACACTGATGCAGGTCACGTCCACGCCGTCCACGCCGTCCCCACCGGGAGACGCCACCAGCCCACACATCACGCCGGCCACACGCGCGGCACCGAGGCTGGGCCGCGACCCCGAGAGGAAACATCTGTACACATGTGTCAGACAGTCAAAGCGCTCACTCATGTTGCTGCCCTGCTGCCTCTTCCGCGAGCACCTGCCACGTGACTCACGCGGAAGCAGCGCCACAACAAATGGGCCGTCGAGCTCCGTCAGAAGTAACGCACTAACACCGGATGTGTGTTGCACGAGCCTTCAAAATAAAACAAATGTCATCGTGTTCCGCTCTGGTGGACCATGTATGAAAGAGGTACTGCTCACTTAAAGCCCCTACAAGGAGTTTTGAAATGGTTATGAAAAGCTGTTATTTTGATATTCCTGCTTCTTTATGACCCCCATTAGCAAATAATAATACATTAATTTATACAGCACCTTTCGTACATAAAATGCAGCTCAAAGTGCTTCACAATAAAATCAAAGACAGAAAATAAGAGATCAATAAGAACATTTTAGCAAGAAAACTAAGATTTAGGAAAAAGTACAATACAAATAAAATAGATGCAATTAATTTAAAGCAAGATCATAGAAATAATTTCTTGAGTTGTTTCTTAAAACTATCAACAGAAGAAGCTTGTCTGATGTGTGGTGGGAGTTTGTTCCAAACCTTTGATTCAAAGCAACAGAAAGCTGCTTCCCCAAACCTTTTAGAATTTGTTTTTGGATATAGAGCAAGAGAACGGTAGAAGACCTGAGGGAATGGTTTAGAGCGTACTCTGATGAACAATCAGAGATGTATGATGTAAGAGACTCAACAACAAGTCAAATAATTCAAAAATTAATCCTCAGTGATACTGGAAGCCAGTGTAAAGCGATAAAACTGGAGTAATGTGATCACTTTTCTCGTTAAAACCCTGAATTTTGCAAAAGTTGTAGTCAATCCATGGATTTTTTTCGGTAAACCTGATTATAGTGAATTACAGTAGTCTCGGCGAGAAAGTATAAAAGCATGAGTCTCCTTTTTGGTATCTTCCAGAGTGAGGTACAGTCTTACTCTAGCTAGGTTTCTTAAATGATAAAAGGAAATCTTTGTGACATTGTTTATGTGTGAATTAAAATCTAGTTCTGATTCAAGTGTAGGTTCTTTACTTTACTTACATTTGTTTTGATGCGCCAGACTCCCAGGTTTGCCAATAATCTTTTGTCTCTGATCATCAGTACCAATTACAAGAATTTCTGTTTTATCTTTGTTTAATTTGAGAAAATTGTTGCTCATCCATTTTTTCCACGCTGAAGAGGCAATTGATAACTTGAAGCATCATCAGCATAACAATGATAGCTGACACCATGGTCACCAATGATTTTGCACAGTGGTATCATATATAGACATATAGTAATGGACCAAGAATGGAACCCTGTGGAATGCCAAAAAGGTTATCATGCTTTTGTGAGTCATGGTCACAGAGGCTCACAAAATATGTCCTGCCAGTAAGGTATGTTCTGAACCAGTTTAGGGCTATGCCTTTTGATACCAATCCAACTTTCGAGTCTTTACAAAAGGATCTTGTGATCTACTGTGTCAAATGCAGCAGATAAATTGAGGAGCATCAGGATAGATGCATTTCTCTCATTTATTATTCTCACCAGTGCTGTTTCGGTGTTGTGTCCCTTTCTAAAACCAGACTGAAATCTGTCGTGTATATGATTCATAAGTAGGAATTCATCCAACTGTTTAGATTTGGCCTTTTCTAGAATTTTGCAAAGGAAAGGCAGGTTGGAAATGGGTCTGTGGTTTTTTAGCATAGAAGAATCAAGATTTGTTTTTTTTAAGAAAGGGCTTTACCAGAGCTGTTTTAGTGTATCTGGGAAGATACCTTTTTCCAGTGTGCAATTTAAAATGTCCAATAGATCGAGAATAAAACTGTCTAAAACCTCTTCAAAAATTGAGTCGGGATTGCATCCAATGAGCATGTGCAATCATTTTACAAAGCTCACAGATTTTTCTAAAATTATATATATAATTATATAAATTAATTGTCTGGGTTGGAGGTTGGAGTTTAGTTATTTGATGTATATATGGTGTTCACAATACTGGCATGGAGAAATATGCCTGTCACAGCGCACAGCTTTGTTGTAGGTGAGGATCTCTCTGTGGGTTGTCAATTTGCTTTTTCTCCACATTCTCTCAGCTCTACGGCATTCCCTCTTTAGTAGACGTTTCTGTCATTTTTCCATGGAATTAGTTTAGTCTGTGATTTCTTTTTTGATTTCTCAGGTGCCACACAGTAAAGAGCTGATCTTAATTTCAAGAAATTAATGATTTACTGTCTGAGGTGTCATCAATATGCAGATTAAAATAACCAGTTATGATTATCCTGTCATGGTTATTTAAAGAGAGGGACAGCAGCTCAGACATTTCTGGTAAAAAATTAACCTATGAGTTTTGGAGGGGGATAAATAGAAAACACTGGATTTTGACTTTCCAATCTAAAAGCTTGATATTCAAAAGATAAAATGGAATCTAGACTGTGACGCTTGCATTTAAAAGTGTTTAAAAATATAGCTGCTAGACCTCCCCCTTTCTTTCCCTCATGTATTGTGTGTATGTAGCTAAAGTTAGGGGGGGAGGCTTCACTGAAGAAAGAGCAGCTCCATCTGAATTGAGCCACGTTTCAGTCAGGAAAATAAAATCAAGCTTATGTTCACTGATAAAATCATTTATGATGAAAGTCTTATTAGTAAGTGCACGAAAGTTTAAAAGAACCATTCTACCTTCCATGTCTGAGCTTTTCGGCTGGGCCATGATTTTTCATTTGTTCGGTAAGTAGGTGAGACCACCTCCTCGACTGCTTCTTTGCTTTTCTTTGTTCATCACAAATAAAATCCATTCTGTGAGTAATCCTGACAGGAATGTCAGAGGCTGTGGGTGATGGTGTACCGCAGGCAGTACTGGAATTTATCCACAAATGGGCACTAGTGGCAGTATAGGGAGCATGACTGACAGAAGAGCAGGTGGTGACAGGTGATGTAAATAGTCAAATATGACGGTCAGGCTGAATAAGTCTATCTTTACATTTCCAGGGTTCAGTTTCAACTCCACCCCCCGCCTCATTGTGAGACTATCATCACAGAGACCTAGGGTCTGTACTACGAAGCAAGTTCAACATATCCAGTGTGATGGAAAGCAGAACTCAGGCAGCAGCTGATGTCTCATGCAGAAGATTTGAATGTAGACTTGATGCATCAAGGAGACCAGAAGGTGCAACAATATACAAACACTAAAAAGTGATTGTCACCCCCAAGTCTGAAGATGTCTCCCACAGCATCTCCATATATCTTCCTCTATTTGCGTCACTCATTCTAACAGCACATCAATGAAAAGCTAGAGTTGCTGTCACTCCCTATGTTACATGTAAGTGTTTGCATCCTATTGGATAGTTAAGGCTAAGAATGCATTCCTAAATCACATTGTGTCGTCATGTCTTGCCACTGGTGAAATACACTAAAGAGTTAGAGTTGGTGCCTCTCTGTCTGGAGCATCTGATATGAAAGTCCCTAAGCGTAGACACTACAATGCACTGTTGGTTGGTCCTTTATCTATAACCTGACCTCTGATACTGATTAGAGAGAGAATAGAGACAGACCCCCTCTAATGGTGTACAGAAGTAATAGACACTATATACATAATATACAGTGGCATATACAGTAATATGTGAGGATGGTCAAAAAGTTCTCAACACCAACCCAGGATATCTTTTCGATACCTGGGTGCACTTTACCTAACAATGCCATCAGGCTAAGTTGTCACTCTACGCTGGTTATCTCAATCCAGGCTTTCCTACTCGATATGATGCACATGAAAGGGCCGTTGTTTACTGCATAGGGCCAATCACAGACATGGACGAGTTTGAGGAGCAAACTGTTATATTAGAAAATGTGAGGGTATCGAGTATAAAAGAAACACAGTCACAGCTGCTAAGTGCAGGAGGGAGAGCTGGTAAAAAAAAATGTGTGATTGTGGTTGTCACAAGGTAAATCGGTAAACTATCTTTCCCCCATTCCAAATAAATATTTAATTTCATAGAATAAACCTCCTCAAAGGGAAGGATAAAAGTATAAAACTATGTCTAGTTATCCCACCGCTAACACACCCAGCATCAATATAAGTAACTCTCACAGGTAAAAGAAATGTAGATCGATGCAGACAGTCTGTGGTACTGTGAGCATATTGCCCCTCTGTGTCAGGTTGGTTCGGATCCAATAGCTGCTAAAGGTTTTGTCATCCCTCCGATGAGGATCTATATTTTTTTATAAAGACATTTATCAGAGTAGGTAAAAAGATTTTGTCGTTCTCTGAAGAATCTTGTCCTCCTCAGAGACTAACAACGAACTCCAGGGGATCCTTTAAGAATGCTGATGTCATGTTTCAAAGGAATTAATTGGTCAGTGGGAAGAGATTTTATACTGGTTTATACTCTTATCCCCAACTTGAACTACACCTGAAGTTACCCCAATAACCGCCAATCCTACTTCATAGTACAGGCCCCTGGCTAAAAAACAACAACCCGGACGTGGTAATCTTAGCTGGCTGCTTTGTTTACAGAGCGGACCACACGAGGGACTCAAGGAGGAGCAGAAGAGGGGGTGTGTGTCTTTACTAATAATCGCAGTCAGGCTACAGGGTCATACAAAGCTGGTTATCAATTTGTTAAATCAATCCAGGTTTTCCTCACCAAGATCACACACATGAAAATGAAACATGAAAGGGGCGTGTTTATGTATATGACCAATCACAGACATGGACAAGTGAACTGACAGCAGGGCCACATATTTCACAACGAGGAGCAAACCGTTATATTAAAAAATTAGTAGGAGAACAAACACATAATCCAGAATAAAATAATCCACACAGAACTCCACGGGATCCTCTATAAGAATGCTGATTTTACATTTATAAGGAATTGATTGGTCAGTGGGCGGAGCTTTTATACAGGTTGATCTCTTATCTGAAATTTAAGCTGCTCCAGAGCAGGTTAGCCATTCAGCATAAATTACCATTTACCCCGATACGAAGTGAACAACCTTGTACTTAAGCTTACCCTGATAAGCACAAATCCAGTTATGTTTTACAGGGCCCTGGTGCCCTGTTGTGGACTACAAACACTGCTGCCCGGACCTAAAGCTCCTCATGGTAAGGTACAGACCGATACAGAATTCACAATAATAACAATCATGGAAGAATACATTCCCCCACAAGCTGAAGCTCAGGTAGAGCTTGAAAAGCTGCAGGATGTCATCGCCTAACAGCTAAAAGCTCACCCAGAAGATGTGATCATCGTAGCAGGGGACTTCAATCATGCAGATCTCAAACTGGTCATATGCTCAAAAGGTTGTATAAAAATATGAACCAGAGACAAAAACTATAACAATTATTCAGAAACAAAAAGGTACATGACCATGACTGGATAGACAGAGGTGCCAAAATCAATTAAAAATGAAGGCCTGTGACCAGTGGCGGAGCCGGGGGGGGGGGGGGAGGGTCTTCAGCCCCTCCTGTCAGAGGCTGCGCCCCCCTCTTTGCCCCCCCTCTTTGCCCCCTACCCCCCTCGAAATATTTGTTTGGTTTTTGTTCCTTCATTAAATACAAGTTGTTAAATATGCTTGTGTTGTTCTATGATAAACATTTAGTAACGTGCATTTCACAATATGTAGTGTGTGAGCCTGGGAACAGTAAATCTATATCTATAGGATTATTTGTTGGTGTTTGTTGGGTCAGAATTCACTAGCACCTCCTGGAAACAATCAGTTCCCCCCATTGCCCCCCCAATAATAATTTTCTGGTGCCGCCGCTGCCTGTAAGGGCTTTAATGTGTTTTTGTATGACCAGAGACTGCTTGTGAGTGGGCATCTGGAAAGCTGCACTAAATTGCAATGCTAAAGCTAAACCACGACATCATCTACATCTCTATTCAGTCCCCCATCTGCTCCTGCCCCTTCGCTGTCCAAAACACACACACATACTGTTAGAGCTTCTGGCTTAGACAGCTTCTTGTGCCAGTAGCTCAAACAGCTCAGGACAACTGTGTTCTTGATTGTCTGAAAATCCTGAATCCTGGAGGTCTTTCTTTTGTACAACATTTCTGTGAAGTTTGCTGCTAAATAACTTAGCTTTAGCAAGCCAATTGGTCACTACTTTTTTCTCACTATTGTGCTTAGTATGATAGTTCTTCATGTAAGCTGGAAGGAGGGGAAATTAAGACCTCAACAAAGAGGCTTTTTTTTTTTATTGAAACATTCTTCAATAAAAATTCATAAAAATGATCAAAAGTCAATATGTATTTTTCAAACAGTAAAATATGAACAGGGATTCATATCTGTAAACAACAGCCTGGGTTTGAGCGTCTAAGACTATTGTTTATCAAAACGCCAGCAGGTATTGGATCCTCGTGTGTCCATCCAACAGTCATCACAATCACAACAAATAAGATTCATATCAAAGCAGATTGGTGTAGGAAAGATTTTTCATATGCTGATTCATGCATTCTCTTGAGCAGAACAGGAGGGAGCAGTGGAGAAGAAGAGTGCAACAGACAAATGAGACACTATGGGAGAGAGCTAAAGGAAAGTGAATAAGAAGGGACTACTGTGTTAGACAGAGAGGACAGGGTTAAGTAAAGCGCAAACAACTAGAAGTTATCAAGTGATGGACAACAAAACCACAAAGAAAAATACAGGCAATCCAATCCACACTGTAAAACTGTAGCCCCACTGCCCCCTAATACACACACATGCAACTTATTACTGAGTACCTTACTGTATTTGCACTAATACATTTTTTATTTTAGGTTGTACAGCCTATGTTTTTTTTTATGTTGTTTCTTTTCATATTACACACTTATTGAAAATCTGATAAACAGATTGATAAATACCCATTCTATTCTTATTTATTTTATTTTAATAGTGTCATAGCCATTGAGAAACTATGCCTTTGGTAGACACAAAGAACAGTTTGAATATATAATACATGGGAGACAACAAGTTTCTAATTGTAAAAACTTAAAGGGATAGTTCACTGAAAAATTCTCTCATGGAGGGGTGGGTGAAGTGTTTGAGTCCATAAAACACTTTAGGAGTTTCAGGGGTAAACAGTGTTGCAGCAGAATCCATTACAATTGAACTGATGACCACTTCTTCAAATATAAAAAAACAGAAAAAAACATTAAATGCCTCAGTACTGCTCCTGTGGTGTCATCCAAGTGTCTGTTAGCCCGGCATTCGAGTTCGACAGCATCATACACGTCGTTCTTTTAGTCCTCTGCTATCCTCCTCTTGAACCGTGGTCACATTTGCAAGCACACACCATACACACTGCACACATTGCACACAAGCTCTCACCCAAGGGCATGCAGGGTGAGCGATAGCATCACTACTTCCACTAGTATCCGTACTTCTGGTATTTAGGAATGTAAATGTCTGTCTGTCTGTCTGTCTGTGAAATGCATAGGCGAACCATTCATCTTATTGACTTCACATTTGGTGTGTCTGTTGTAAATTGTAAGGGAGAGTGCAGTGCAGATTTTGGTGTGTTTAGGACTCACAATACACTCAATATTATTGATATGTAATTTTTATCACAGTTATGCAGTGCTGTATTTAAATCACAACTAATTTTACACTATTGTAACTGCTATTACTGCATTATTTTAATACTGTAGATTTATAACTGTAAAAAAATGACATACTGAATTACATACTGTAAAATGATAAAATACTATTTTTGTCACAATTTCCTTTATTTTTATTTATGAACAATAAACGCTTGGGTTCAATGTTCTCTGTTAGCACAATGTACTGTGAAGGAAATCTTTTTAAGGTGTTTAAGAAAACTGCTCCAAAAGGTACCTACAGGTTAGAATCATAGTGATATGGTGATCAGGCAAAATGTACGCATATAGAGCTTAATATGAGAGTCACTGTATCATTAAAAATCTTAATAAAATGCTGCATATGAGAAACCATGCAGTGTAATGTGACTCATCTCACAATCCTAACACAGTTTGCAGATTAAAAATGCTCATGCAAAGACATTGTGGCTGACTAAAAGGTTTTATACAGTTTTCTAGTCTTGATGACCACACAAATCACTTTACAGTACAGTTTTCCATTCACCCATTCATACAGTGCATCTATTAGCAGAACTTTTTTCCTATGAGGGGAAATTCGGGGACTGTGATTGAACCACTGACCTTCTGGTTGGAGGATGACTACTCAGTCGCAGCCACCCAGTGTATTATTGTGTAATGCTGCCTCTATCATACCATATAACAAAGGTAAAATTTCCATCGGCATTTCAGCAGCAATGCAGCCCAGAGGCCTGACATCGACCGGCTGGTTGAATGGAGCTTCAAGCAGAAACTCTGAGAAGAAGAGCCCGATCAACATCTTACCGAGATTATAAAGACTAGCTGAAATGTAAACTTCTGCTTATTGTCAAAATGATGATGTCAGTTTATACAATGGTTAAGACATGACCGGGACTAAAATGCTGGAATGTCAAGATATCTATAATGTGACATAATTTCTGCCACAGATGTTGGGGTATATAAATCTCCTGTCAGTGTCGCACCTCTCTACTCCTCAGAATTTGATCATGCAATGACATGTAATAGCGGCTGTAAATGGTAAACCAGGAACTCTGTGGATGAAGTCAGCTGAAATCATGACATCATGAACAGTTAAAACCAACTGTACTGCAGAATAAGGTCCTGTCCACACTAATATAGTATTATTTTAAGAAGAAAATCATCTCCGTCCAGATGAAATCATCTCCGTCCATACGAACACACATGACCATTCATGTACACTGGTCATGTATGTGGGTATAAACAGGAGTCCTCTCTGTGGAGACCGCCATGTTTTTTTACTGTCGTCCAAACTGGACAAACTAAAACCTTTTGAGTTTTCATGACAACTGAAGTTCACCACAGGTTCTCTGGGAAGGAGAGGATGAGATGAGGAGTATTCAGCTGCAACATGAAACCTCACCTCTAGATGTCACTAAATTCTACACACTGAACCTTTAATAGTGTAATAGGAACGTAGACAGGTGCAATTCTAGTCTTAAATGACCCTAAACTTTGGATCAGCAGCAACATTTCGAGTATCCTTCCTTATTTCCTTTTTGCAAAGCATGAAGTGTACCTTCGTGCTTTTATTGTGAAAGGTTGCAGTCGGAAGGCTAGGTGTTTTTGCTGCTGGGTCACCGGGGTTCACACAGAGACACTTTGTTGTCAAAGCTGCTCGTTCCACAGAGAGACGATGGTGAAGATCGCGGCTGCGGACACACGCACATGTGTCAGGGGATAACACCGCTGCTCGGTGCTGCACCACAGCTCGGAGGACGCCAGTATGCAGCTCTGACTCTTCCTCTCCTCTGGAAGCGGATTGGCCGAGTGAAGCGTCGGCTCGGCGTCTGTCAAGTAAATCTTTTGTTTTTAACACTCGTGCAAAAGTTGCTGTTTGCCCTCCAAGTCCATGTGCGCAGCGAAGTGGACCGTCGCCCACGCAGTGTGCCGAGGTCCATGTGTGACCGGCTGTGCCGTGACAAAAAGTCAACACTAGCTAGCGAGCTAGCGCTAGTGAGTTTGGTTAGCTTGCTGGCGTTAGCTTCCAGCCCGGACAATAACAGCCTCGCAACGAGAGCTCCTGTGTCACATTAACTGCACGTCCTGTGGTTTGTGTCAAGAGTTGTCTTCGCGTGCACATGTGCAGGTCTTGGGTTTGGCCAGCTGTCGACGTAGTTCACTTGTTCGTGCTTTGCATTGTTGGTGATGTTAGCAAATAAAGCCATTCCATTGTCCACTGCTGTTCCTCCACCGGCTCATGGGTGAAGGTAAGTACAGTGTCGGGTGTGATGAGCGGATGTCCACATCACCTTCCTGTCTCTTTGCACCGTTTTAGACATCTGTCTTCAGACATCTGTCTTCATTCAAAATGAAAACCAGAGCTGCTTCAGTTAGCAAGTTGAGTATTTGCAACATACGTGTCATTTCCCATTCCAGTCATTTCCCATCATTGCTGATCTTATTACTAGTATTACTGGTTGTACAGTCACAACATGTGCACAGTATTCTCTGTCAGTGTTGAGCATACCTTACCATGGGATATCGTTGCTGCATGACTAACAGTGTCAGTGTTTTTGTGTGTTGCAGAAATAACACGTGAAGACAGAGGTGCCTCCTGAAATCCCTCTCAGGCTCCCTCACTGTGCAGCTGTATCATTACAGGTGCAGCTCCGATATGACTAAGAGAAGTCCATCTTACCAGCTGGTCAAAAGGTGCGTTCTCTCTTTATTTCTCTTTTTCATACCATCCATCTATTGTAGGTTTTTGAATGAAAAGAAGTCATTTCTCCCAACAAGAGAAGGTAGCTGAATTTATCATTTAGTCAGGCTTAAATTTGGGCTTCGTGGAACAAAATCATGTAGAAACTCTGCCGCTGTGTCCTCAAGAGCCTTTTGTTTAAGGACTGCATTATCTCCAAAATATCGTTGGACAGCTTATCTGCACATGTTTAGGTTCACACTGCATTGAGTGTCTACATCTGGGTTAGGGCTGGGCGAAATAGAAAAAAATCTTATCACAATTTTTTTCATATCAGTCGATCTTGATATATATCACAATAGAAATTAATTCAGCTCCACTGCACTGAGGTGTATTACTCCACAGGTCAACAAGTGACTCTGCTCCTCTGATGTTTTCTAACCCTCACACTTAGAACTGATCTTTATAAAAACCTGCTGAATTCATATTCATGTTCCTGGATAAAAGGGGCGTCGCTTCTTCTGCAACAAAGAAGTTAAAACACTGTGTGTGTGTGTGTGTGTGTCACACACTAACTGATAATAACATGGGATATTCACCATCTAGTGCTATATTCTAAAATAGTTATTAATCGATGATGTCGGATCATGACTCCGGATCGTTCCTCTCACTTTAACACTCATGTCCTGACTTTGTGCGTCACGTTATGTCTCGTGTTGTGTCCAGGTTTTAACATGTGTCTCCTCAACTCTAGAGCAAATCAAACAAACACAAAGTAAATGTCAGTCCTCTACTTGTTCTATTAACTTGTGATCAGTGATGGAGTTTATTGTTCAAGTGTAAAGTGAGCGCAGGTCAGAGGAGGAAACAGACTCCGACAGAGAGTGTGACAAAGACCGGACCTTCAGTAAGCGTCTGTCCTGATCCTGGAGCAGCAGTGGGTATAATTATTCAGAGGTGGAAACCTGCAGCAGAAAACATGAATCATTATGTTCAGTCTCTGCATGGATGTGGAGTCCTCCACCTCTGGACATTAACACGTGTGCTTCTGCTCCTCCTACAATATGTGCATCAACCTAACCTGATGTGGCTCTAACTCTATTCTAGCCACATGATTGTTTCAGTGCAGCGCTATTCTCATTATCATTGTCTGTTTGTGACATCACTTTTACACTTTCTTACTACGTCATTGGGGAGGATTAACATGTTAAGTGTGGATGCTGTCATACGTTTTGTCAGCTCGTAGACTGTCTAACCTTCGTAAACATGACACTACTTACACATAGGGGTGAACTCTGGTAATCTGGGATATTGTATGCAATCTTGACTTCTGTGACTTATTCCATATATTTGTTTTACACAGTTGATCAACATGTTAAAGATTTCTGTAACCCTTAAGAGGTTTTCTAACCACACCAGGAGAAGGAATTGAGATATCAATGGAGACATGACCCAGCTTTTAGTTTCTCTATGCCTAAAAAGAAAATTCTGCCTGAATTTGATCATCTGGGACAGGTCGCTTTGTAATCTGGGACACTTATATTAGGCTTTTAAGAAAAGCCTAAATCACCTTGCTTTATGCATGACAAGCGGAATATTACCAATTCGACTCCTCCTATGTTTGGTGAAACCAATTGCTGCAGACCACAGGACAGACTCTTCTGTGCTTTTTGGATCATCTCTGTCCTAGACAGCAATCTGTAATGTGCTAGTTAGCTAACCAGACAATCAGTTGAAACAGACAGGGACAGACTGTATTTACCATTAACTCCTGTCGGTCAACTGCAGATCATTTACTACATCTCTTTGTTTTTTTGCTGCAGGAAGTTCCTAAATGCATATTCCCCATTTACAGAACTTTAATGATCGTCCCAGATTACCCAAAGCATGCTGGACCATGTTATCAATCATATTTGATAAAGTGGGACTAAAAGTACATTTTCAACACATCAATGCATATTTTGTTACTTGAATACATCAAAAACATAATTTGATAAGTATTAATAACATTGTCTTATTTATGACAGATTTATATCCTTAACATTAATCTTGGCAGAATCCTCAGTTTTTTACCTTGTCATGCAATTCTAAGCATTATTTATTTTCAACATACTCAAAGACACTTTACAAAAGTTGTTTGTTTTGTTTGGAAAAATGAAAGGAAAGAGTTGCACTTGTTCACTGTGAAGGATTTGGAGTTGGAGGTCCCTGGGTTGGAGGAGTTTGTTTATTGTGGAGAATAGAGCCTCAGTATGAGGTGTGAGTAGTAGGTGGACCGGGCTGAGATAAGAGCATCTTTGTATGGTTGAAGGTAGTTGGTGTGAGCTTAGACCAGTTTTCTTGCAGAGTATTTCATGCTGGCGCATGCTGGGATTTCATTTGGTTATACCAGGGAGCCGAGTGTGTGAATGAGACAGTTTTGGTTTTACTGAGAGCCGGCTGATCAAGACAGGAGGAGAGTGTGTCATTGTAGTAGTTGACAAGATCGGAGAGGGAATATCAGACAACATGGGAGGGGAGTACTGACAAGAGAGGCTGAAAGAGTTGTGGGGGAGATAGGTTTGAGATTTATGAAGGGTATATTGCGCTTATCTTTTGGGATGGGGATAGGGATGTCATATTCCACGGTGATGGCCAGGTGGTCAGAGCTATTGAGGTCGATGTGTTGTGAGACCAGTAGAACAGACCAAATCCATGATGTGACCAAGGCTGCGAGTGGGGAAGTTGACATGTTGTGTGAAGTTGAAGTAGCAGTCAGTGTTATCAATGTGGATGTTAAACTCCCCTAAGAGGAGAACGGAAGGTGAGATGACACAAAGCTGGGTCAGAAAACTGTAGCGTGAGCAGCTGTTACCTGAATGGATTTGCACCCTGCTACTAATGATTATTAGTGGGCTCTTGTCAGCCGCATTGCATCAACTCAGTGATAAACAATGTTGATATTTTTACATTCACACAATCTTAATGATCACATAATAGCATGCACTGTGGAGCCTTGCTCTGGTAAATGAGGTGGTGCAGTATCAGCAGATGGCGATTGACTAAACACCGTGTAGTATCAATATATGTACCATTAGAGATCCATTAAAGCCCAGACCAGCCCAAATATCAATATATCTAAATCTTAGAATCAGCTCTGCAGGTATTTCCATCTTAAAAAAGGCATCTTTATTGAAAGTGGTGATGTTTTGATCATTAAAATCGCTACCTACAAATATGTAATCATTGGATTAAATCAGATGTAAATATGTACTGTAGGTATCAGTACCACCACTATTGGTAAGTTTATAATAATTGGGATTTGCGGTGTTGGAAACTCAGCTTTAAAGGGATAGTTCACCAAACAATTAGGTGTTTGAGTCCACAAAACACTTTTGGAGTTTCAGGGGTAGACAGTTTTGCAGCCAAATCCAATACAATTGGCAGGTGAGTTAGAAACATCAGACACACTGCTCAAACCCAGCCACTTCCCTGAGGCATACAGAATGTATTCACTGATTTTTCCTAACAGCGGTTAGGCACAGATGAACATTACCCTTCCGAAATGTGACAGGATGCTGAACCATCACTGCAGAAGGAACCCAGAGCTTCATGAGGAGCTCCAGATCCAGGCTGCAGTGGCAGCTGGGGATGTCTGCACTGTCAGGAGAATGCTGGAGCAAGGGTACTCACCCAAGATCCGCGACGCAAACGGCTGGACTCTGCTCCACTTCTCCGCTGCCAAAGGAAAAGAGAGATGTGTCCGAGTCTTTCTGGAGCATGGAGGTCAGAGGCTTTCTCTTCGAGCATCATGCCTTGTCAGGTTTTCCTGTGTGAACACTAGAGGGCGTTACTTTACTGGATAAGACAGCCATTCATTCACCTATGTATAAGTTGAAAGTCCTAGCTAAAATAGTATCCTTTTGTTGACATGACACATGTTTGTGTGTCTTTTGTGATATTCATTTCAAAATTGGCTATTCTGCATGAAAGTCAAAAGTTCCTAAACATGATGAAAAAAAGTTTCAATGTCGTAGTCCAGCCTGTCGAAAAACGTTCATATTCGTCCTTCACTGACAAGAGACTGATTTATGATTTGATAATAAAAACCAAAATGAAGACCTTGGACTTTTTCCTCCCTGTGCTACTAGTACTGATCAACATACCGACATTAACAAAGCCTCATGATAGCTCACAGTTATGTTTCCAACAAGTGGTCACATGACCCCAGTGCTGGTAAATCAAAATAGAAAAACAGTTTTTGTTGTGAAGCCACTGAAAATTGTCCATTTTGAGTGATTTTGTAATGAATAGATTTTACTATTATGTAATCTGTCATTCTTCGTGTCTCCTATGTATAATCCAGAGGCAGAGAATAAAAAGCTGCAGTCTCAACACAGATCACTATCTCTTAATAAAATTCTTGTGGTCAGGAAATCTTGGGCCACTTTTCTGAAACTCTCTCCAGTTGCAATTAGTAACACAGATAAACTGTTCTTTTAAATAAAATTTCCCTCTGAAGAAAAAAAACATAAAATCCACTCATAATTTCTTCTGTCTCGTGTTCTGAATAAATGCAATCTATGGCCATCTGAAGCTGATTTGAACAGTCAGAAGGAGGTTTAAAGGTTTTAGTGTATTTTCTGAATTCTGTAAGTGTGATAATAGAGCTAGTGCACATTAGCTAGTGCTTTAAAGTTGCTGTATTTGACTTTCCTCTCTTTTTCTCTCTCCTCTGTGCAGCTGACCCCACAGTGAAGGACTTCATAGGTGGCTTCACAGCACTTCACTATGCTGCTATGCATGGCAGAGCACGCATCGCCAGACTGATGCTGGAATCCGAGTTTCGCAGTGACATTATAAATGCAAAAAGCAACGACGGCTGGACGCCGCTGCACGTGGCCGCCCACTACGGTCGAGACTCTTTTGTACGCCTCCTCCTCGAGTTCAGGGCCGAGGTGGACCCACTGAGCGATAAAGGCACCACGCCGCTGCAGCTGGCCATTATCCGGGAGCGCTCCAGTTGCGTACGGATCCTTTTGGACCACAGTGCCAACATTGACATTCAGAATGGCTTCCTGCTGCGGTATGCCGTCATCAAAGGCAATCACTCGTACTGCCGCATGTTCCTGCAGAGGGGAGCGGACACAAACCTGGGACGTCTTGAAGATGGCCAAACTCCCCTGCACCTGTCAGCCCTCAGGGATGATGTATTGTGTGCCCAGATGCTCTACACGTATGGAGCTAATACTAACGCCAGGAACTATGACGGCCAGACACCTGTAGCTGTATCTGTTAGCATGTCAGGAATCAGCCGGCCCTGTCTGGACTTCCTGCAGGAGGTCACCAGTAAGTCTCACAACACTGCACCTACACACGAAGAAAACTAAAACAATAACATTACATTACACCATCATTCATTCCTCTCTTACTTATTCTCTCCTCTTCCTTCCTTCCATTTGGAAGAAGCCACTTTGTCTCTCTTTCTGTCAAAACCAGACACTTTAGCCTGGTGCGTATCTTTCCATCAGAGAGAAGTGCACATGTAGCCCATTGAAGTATTTGTGTCAACACATTTTCATTTGGTGCTTCAAATAATAGCCTCTGGAACTGGGTCAGAATACATTTCACAGGTGGCATTGGTTTATTTGAGATTGTTGCCTCGATAGCTACATTTTGAAGTGCACACTTTATTTGTAAGAATGGATACAAGCCAGTGTTGCATGCCTGTTAGCAAATGCAGCGTAGCACAGTGAAAAGTTAATGTCCCTATCTGTGAAAATAAATCTGTTCAAGTGGGTGGGGTTTAGAAAAAGAGTCCAAGTTTACTAAGAAAAGCGATAGATCTTTTTTATTGTAAGTTGAGAGGAGGCAAAAGTTGAGAAATGTAAAGAGTGAAAGAGGGCTGCTTGCCAACACAAGGTTATAATGACCAGTGTTCAGTCAGAGAACAATCCCAGGTCAGAGAACAGGAGAGCACGTTACCTGAAGCATTCTGATTTGGAAGGAACAATGGCTGCATTCCTGCCCCCTGAAGTTTGATATCAAAGATATCAAAGAGCTGAGCACTGATTCACAGAAGTCCTTTCAGAGACTCTGAGCCATCAGCCAGATCACATATCTGTTGGGTTATTGATTACACCTCCACCCCCTAGATTAACTCATATGACATGAAAGTCTCATCCCACACAGAATGTCAGGCACCCTCAGCCCTTTCAGCGGCTGAACTCTTAGCACAGCTGTTCTCGTGCAAAGCTTCATGAAGTCTTAATGTGTGGGCTTCCGTCCGACTTAAAGCCAAAACAATCCAAAACTATGTGCTGCGTTTGTGCCAATGCACACCCACGCACATACACTTGCACAAATACTGTATATTGTCAGTCAACAGTTTGCTGATTGGAACATTTTGACATATTGTTCAACCCTATTACAGGGCCACATTACAACGTATTCAATGTAATTCAACTTCACCACAGACACAGCAGTAAAGGCAGAGGTGTAAATAATGAAATGTATGATGGCTGAGTTAAAGGTTCAGTGTGTAAGATTTAGGTGAAAGGGATCTAGAAATTGAATATATAAATTACTCCTAGTTATGTTTTCACTAGAGCACTGAACCTTTTAGTTACAAGTTAATGCCTTGTCTGCACTCCTGTGATAGTTTTTTGTACTGGTATTGTTTCTCCGTTTAAAACAAACGTCCACGTAGCCTTCATATTAGAAAATACAATGAGAACACAAAAATTGCTACAATTGCTCAAACAAGCATGCCGGGAAGAATGTTGTGGTCCAAAAAAATCCAGTAAGCTGTGTAAAGTAAGCATCATTGTTTCCCAAATTATCCTTTTACATGTACACACACGTTTTTGAAAATATGCACTTTGTCAGGATCTGTTTTAGTCAAAAGGCTGTTTGCGTGTGGACAAGTGGCTGAAATGCAGTGGCAGGTTGTCATATGGTCCTTTACCCGGACAATTGAACATCTTGAACGTTATGAGTTATACCTGTGCTTTTCTAATAATCTCTAGTTCCACCACCTAAAGAATGGTTATTATATTGAATTATTTTTCCCTTCAGAAATCACCAAATATCTAAAATTCTGCATTCAACTGTAGCAACAGATGGTTTTGACGTCTGCTTTGGATCTTGGACATTTGTTAGAAGCCAGCCTTGTCTCTGTTTCAGTGTCTCGACTGACTGCAGGGCATTTGCATCTAGAATTCACTGATATTTAATGGAATCCATTCTTTCCTCTGTGTTTCCTGTATAAGTCGCTGCCACGCAACCTTGAAGCAGAATATTTCCACACCCGTGCTTAACAGCTGGCAGGGGGGGTACTGACGCAGTAGGGTGCTGAAACTTTTTGTTTTTTAGTGATCTTTTATTAAGTATCAGTGTATTAACATTTTTAATGTTTCTTGCTCCAGGGGTTGTATTTATTTCTTTTTACTACAAAATACAGTACAGACGAAGTATATCGATGATTAAATATTTTTTTTTGGGTTCTGCTCTCCAGCACTTAAAGCCTGAAAAACAACAAGATGTGTTACTGTCCAAGTACTTTGGTCTGGACTTTCTTAAGTTTACAAAGGGAAGACCAAACTTTTATTCATGTGACTGTTAGTTGCATAACTGAATAAAGACAATATTGAGTTTCATTAGGAAGGTCATATGTGATAATCTTTAACCCCTTTTCACTGTACAATCTTTAATCTGAACAGGCTGTACAACACTCAACCTGAGGCTCCTCATTACCTGAATTTTGCAGAGCCTTGTGAGGCTTTGTAATGCCTTTCTTATCATCCTGTTTTTCAAACCAAGATGTTTTGGGTATAGTTCATCCAGGAGGTGACAGTGGGGTGAGTAAAGTCAGCAGAAGTAATGATGGTATTGATTTACCTTACATGAACAGACACAAGTCTGTAGGCTGAACAAAAAATCTATAACCAGGTTCCATTTAAAAGATTTTCACCTGTACTCTTTGGCAGTTTGTTGTAGTCATCCTTGTTGTGGTGTGACATCACATTTTGGGATTGACAGCACTGCACCAATCCCTCAAACTTTGGTTTCAATCAATAAATACACAATATTTTCTGACTATTAGCTGTTCATCTTAAAGTGTCTCTGTAATCTTACCTATAAACTTGACTGCACTACCATTGGTTTGTGCAGGTAGTAGGGATTTTGTAATGTCCACTGCTGAAACTTGTCCTGCAATCCCACTGAATTTAACTATGCAAGCATTGGATTGAAATTTCTTTTTCAGCATATTGAGTCCAAAGAGACAGTCAAGTATCTTAGAATTCACCCTTTACATATTTCCACATCTTCTCAATCACACATCGCACTGATTCTTAAGTCCATTTTATGTCTGGTTCAACTAATTGGACATTTATCTTCACATATACATCTCCTTTGGGCAATACATAGAAAAGTTCACGGTTGCAGTGCATGTGTAACAGCAGCTTTTTTTCTCTCATAAGCCGTTTACAGAAATCCTTCGGAGGATCTCTGGAGATTTTGGAGGACTTGCGCCGCAGTTTGCCTTTCACACATGCACAATGCAGCAGGGGGTTCTCTGCTGAGAAGAGTTCCCAGCAGCATTCAATTCTCAACTGGATACAGACGAAGGGGGGGGGGTGCTACAGACAGAAGCGGGATGTAACATATTCATTACGCTGCAGAGATATGGGAGGAGCTTGAGGACTGTACAGAAAAACAGGATGGCATACTTAGACATAGACATACTTAACAGACAAGATTTAGCTGGTGTGTCGCAGTGCTTGCCAGTGGACAAATTACTGTACATAGTGACACTGGTAATACTTATCTTTGGTTTTCCATCACTCTAATTTCTGGTTCCTCTTTGACGGAAAGAAACACCAATGTTGACTTTAACACAATAAGCAAACACTGGCTAACATGGGCCTGGACGGAGTGAAGTGCCTCTGGTGGAGATCCTCTGTATAACGACTCTTTCCATTCCTCTTTCAGGACAACCAAGGACTCTGCAAGACTTGTGTCGAATAAAAATCCGTCACTGCATCGGCCTTCAGAGCTTGAAGTTCCTGGAGGATCTACCAATTGCAAAGGTTATGAAAGACTATTTAAAACACAAGTTTGACAATGTGTGAAGGAGGATACAACAGAAGAGGAGGGAGTGGCTGAAAACCCTCTGTGCTATCAGTTATGAAGACTATGCAATCACCCATCAACATGTCTGTTCCTTACTTGCTGAAGGAAGGTCGATCCTGTTTTTGTCCAGTTCAACACACTTCAACAAATAGTTTCCCACGTCACTCCTGGTTGCTGAAGGATGGAAGTAGAGCTGGCTTGTGTGAGCAGCAATTATTGTTTTTGTGGGAATACGAAACCTCATTTGAATTCTTTTTATGTTACTGTGCACGATATTATCCTTGTTGACTCAGATTGTCATCGAATGTGTACTTTCAATGAATATACTTTAATTTATTTCCCCCTATAGGATGTTAAACTCGAGCTGTTGCAGTGGAGATTTTATTGCTCAGAATCACAAAGTGGTGAGCTAGTTACATACAGGTAACTTAAAACATCTACAAGGTACATTCTGGTGGGTTTTTTGTTTTTAAATCTGGTTCCAATCACTACCAGCTTCTCCAGTTACTTCAATGACTCATGAAGCAAACAGAGCTGTTGGGCCCGTCGACAGATATGTCCCACACAGAAACAATTGATGAATCTTATTTCAACGTAGCTATTTAGTTATGTCGACATAGAAAAGTAGTGTTACAAGAAATAAGCTGGATCCCCATGTGGTCACTTATATCAATCATCGTTCTATAACAAACAACCAGCCACAACGTGCCAGAATTTGGAAATCCACATCTGCTCTAGGGTCAAATTTGGCTAAAATTTGCGGCAGGTGGGTTTGAGTTTAAACTGCTGACTCTGTACAGTGACAGCATAACATCAGATGTAACGTCAGCAGAAGTGAAAGTCTACAAATGGTCCTTCCAGCTCCATGCTGATTCTTTGGAGCTGAATTTTTAAGTATCAAAAGAAAGCTGAGGTTTTAGATTAAGGTCGCAAGGTTGATAAATAGTGCTGTAATGAAATCAGACAGGATTAGATTGAATCTTCGCTCCACATTGCTTCTGATATACAAGAATGACCAGGAAGAATATAATGCAGTCCGAATTCTCAAATCTAATGCATAGAATTAATTGTGTTAAACAGCTTAAGTGTTGAGCAATGATCAACCACCAATCAAGTTGCGTTTTCCATTTCTAAACTCTATGGAAGGTTGGAAGTTTGAAGTGAGTGCACTGTGATTCGTTTCTGTTCTGAAAGCACCACATGTTCTCACTGAAGGTGTGGTTTAACAAGAATAACAGCTAATAGTCTGTTTTGGATAACACTGACACACAATCACTACAGTCTATGTAAATATGTACAACAGATATTTTTGTAGAATTTATTTAAGCAATGATTTCTGGTATTCTCAATGTATTTAAAGTTTGGATTTAATATTATGATCTGTTTGGTGTGACTCTTTCTTTTTTGCGTGTGAATTATACTGTGAAGTTTTCATTTTGACATTTAGAAATAAATTGTAGGGGTCTAAATAAATACCCACAAGACAATAATATGTTTTTATTTGTCTCTGCATGTGTTTAAATTGCATCCTGAACGTACTTGGCACCTAAAATTGGTTTTCCTAAAATCTTCACAATCTTACAAATGTCACTTTCCTGTTCATGTTTAATTTTAACTTAGCAGCTCTTTGTATGAGGATATTTTGTATTCAAGTAAACTGAGACAAATACTTTTTCCTGTTACCAAAAATGGTTGGAAAATGTAAGGTGAGGTTCAGGAGAGTTGCTTGGATTTGTTTTAACTGGTATTTCACTCTCTCCAATTTTGTGGGCTGCGTCCATCAAAGGCTCTTTAAAGACTGAATACAGTGTCCAGTGCAGTTTTGGATAAATCTGGTTTAATCTATAGGTGCCCTTTGGAATTTACAACTCAAACACACAAATGTTTACATTCATATAAGTCACTTCAACACATTGCAGTCTAAGAAATGTTCAAGTGTATTTCCTTCCACATTAAACCTCCACATGGAACAGAAACAGTTTAAATACCCTGAATTAATTGCATCCGTTTTTACTAGATAGCATTTTTCTTTTTTTTGCAGTCGTTGGTGCATTACTGTTTATTTAGCATTACTGTAGCCGTCAGTCAGTGGAATAGTGTGAAACATCTTTATATCTAATATGCGTGTGTGTGCGTGTGCGTGCGTGCGTGCGTGTGTGTGTGTGTGTGTACAAAACAGACGAAACAGCCAGCAGAGGTCAAAAACTCCACAGGACACCTTCAATCCAAAACCGTGATCCAATGAACTAAAACCGACATTGATTACACTGTCCAATAGAGAATTGAAAGCATCCATTAAAATACACATCGATGCCACATTAGCATGTGTATATCTATTACACGCCATGTTTCTATATGTGTTTCATGGCTGAAATTAGCTTTTTGCTGCATCTTGAAAACACAATGTGAACAGATGATTCTATAATGAAACCCTACTTTCTGACACAGATCACAAATTAGTTGGTCATCAGTTTTGGATGTGATATTAAGTTTTCACCTCAGGTTTGAAAGGCTGCACACATTTAATTTTCCTAAGTTTACCTCTATTGTGTTTCCCCCGTGCAAACCATTTGAGAGTTATTGAGACCTAATCATTTGATAAGGATCATCATCGAGCACGTTTTTGTCTGTATTCTGTCCACCAATGTGAATCCAGAGGGGAAGTTTTGAGCAGGTGCGTGTCAGTGAACCAACTCCTGGCGTCTCTGTATATATTTATATGTGCCAATGCCAGCACCAAGCACGACAATCGTACCTTGTGTTGCTCCAGTTGTTACCAGGAAGCCTACACTGGCATCAAATCATTTTGGTGCTGATTCTGAACAAATTTGTCAGCCACAAAGTTGTAGTTGTTCTTGTTGAGCCCCTGAAGTAAACAGTTCTCAGTTCTAGCTCAGCAAAGTGTTGTTGCTGCTCTGAGCTAAACTAGGAGCATAATTTCCACTAATTTAAGAATGTGAGTTTTGAGATTTTTCCTGGGTTTTGATGGAGCAGTTTTGCTAATGTTTTATCCCAAAATACCTAATGCACCCCCCTCCCTGCCTCACTTTGTCATCTCAGACCATTCTTCACTACATTTCAGTCCTGCTTCATCTTCCATATGGTCCATCTTCCTCAACCTGGGTGTGGGTTTGATATGGGGCCATTTTACAGTTTTGTATTTTGTGCGTGAATGAGTCCGTCGTACATTGACCGCCTCTTCCAATCAGTTCCTCAGCACACTTTGGTCGTCACAGTCAGGGAAACACTTCATGCATCGTCTTATGTGGCTTTCAGAAAGTCGTCCACACCGTTAACTACTGAATGTACAGAATATGCAGATTTTCAAATGTAAAACAGAACAAATGTGTGAATAAACTACAAGTTGTCGTTTCTTGGTTGTCAAATGTTTGTGTGTGGGGGTGACGTGAAACGAGTGACATCAGCAAAAAGAAGTCTGACACGAGCTTGTTTGGAAAACACAAGTTGCTCTTGTGTTGACTCATAGTGAAGGATAATTAGCAGTATTTCAGATCAGAGCATTGACTCTTGTGACTTGACCTGCTTGACTTTGCTCGAGTGACGTCATTGCTGTAGACGTCTCCATGGGTCCACTCTGGTGTTAGTCACTGAGACATGGGACAGGTGGGATCAAAAACTATTATCAGTCTGATTATCTCTCACAGTGATTGATTGTGTAGCTGAAGGTGTCCCTTGTCTCTTTGTATGGATGGAGTATAGATGATAGAGCCTGTCAGGCACAGGCCGACAACATTCACAAACTAAAACCTCTATAAAGTGGCAGAAGGGCTGTTAAGAGACGCACAAAGATCTCAAAGAGACACAAAATGTCAAAGTGATGCAAATCCACACAAAACGTTTTTTTGAACTAAAGAAACACAAGCATGTCCAGTTTCCTATGTAGACATGCAGAACTCCTGAATTGCCAGTGATGCAAAACAACCAAGTGATATAAAACAACTACAGATAAGTTTAAAACCCAACCAAAGACACATGGTGGATCGAAGCAGATTATCTTCTGTTCTCTCTGATCTTGAGATCATCATCATCTTCACTGTTGTATGCGGGAAAACACATTAAAGTCATGTTCCTAAACATTTGAATTCAGATAAGATATTCCTTTATTCGTCCCACACTGGGGAAACATGCCATATAACAGCAGTGAAGAGGACAGTTAAAATAGAGACGTTACTAAAAGTAAATATAAGTGAACATTCAATATGAATTGTTCAGTATTAGTTATGGTCGTCTTTTATTCAGCCATTTAATGTTTGTCCAGTATATCCTGTAACTGCCTCTTTGTACTGTACTTCTCATTGTTATTGGTGGAATCTTTTTTTCATTCATGGGATTCAGTTACACATCTGATCCTGAGCTCAGCAACACTCTTTAGACAGAGGCTATTTCATGAATCAAACGTTTCTGTTGTTGCACCCATCGTCCTGTCCCAGTGTCCTGTGACCATCCTACATGTCGGTCAGGTGGTAACACAACATCCTACATGCTGTTATTCATCCTTCCAAGACACAGCGTTAGCCCTCGTTACTGAACCATGTCATGTCAAGATCTTTTTGGATCAAACCATTTGCTTCTACTTGTTTAGAAGTGGGTATGATTGAGCGAGGAGAACCACTTTGACGGAGTGATTCCAAAAATCTGTTGGCCTCCACCAGAAGTGTAGATCAAGAGGGGAGGACAAGGGGAGAACGAGTCAACTGGACACAGACTACATTCTTGTAGTAAGTCACCCAGACAGATGCACCTCTATCTCATGACATCACTACGCTACGAGCAACCAGCTAATAGTCAAGTCTGACTTTATCACAATTGATCAATAAACACCTCAAGTGCAGGAGAAGTCATCGGAATAGTTTTTCCTACAGAAAGAGAAAACAGAAGAATTCACTCAACGATAACTAAATGTATTTGTTATGTGACTGTGCCTCTAAAGATTATAACTCCAGCGACTGAGGCCTGGACTCTGCTCTGTCTCAAAGACACTGTAAAGGGAAGTTGTACATATCTCAAGGGGTTAATGACGATCCATCTGCAAATAATCACAGAGTAGGTTTATATTTATGTTTCAGCGTCAGATTGCAGCTGTTAATATCACAGCTCCAACACTCAACAGATGTACACGATCAAACTGTTATTGTGCTCTAATCATGCTCCCCACAGGAACTGTGTTGACACACTCTCATTCACTTTGTGACACACAAAGACAATTGTCAGGGTTCGTCTTATTGGATTACTGATAATAATTTGATCCGCTCTCCTCTTAAGGAGGAGGTTTCTGGTTCTTACTTGACATTGTCTTTGCGGCTCGAACTAAACACATTGTCGCGTCTAATCTGTTGCACCTTGAGCTTCCATACATTCACATTAACTTTGGCTATTGGAAAAGAATTGTGTAATTGATATTATTCATTATTGATGATCAAATAATAAGATCTCATTAGAATTAGACAGCAGGGCACCACCTTTCAAAAGGAAGGGAAAGAGCCAATTCACTGATTCAGTGTCCCAGAAATGACCAACTATAACTTTAATAATCAATAACATTACTCTTACTTAGACTGAGTGTGTGTGTGTGTGTGTGTGTGTGTGTGTGTGTGTGTGTGTGTGTGTGTGTGGCCAGTTTGAGATGGCTGCAGTCCAAAGAGGTTAGAAGAAGAAGAGACCTACCAGATGTACTGTGATGGTATTGTGATGGTGGACCATACCAATAAATAACATAGCAATAATGCTCAGTGAATACAGAGAAGTTATCAATACAATACACTGCTCGTTAAACAACAGTTACGTTTCCAAGTCCATGGAAGGAGAGGAAGAGAAGGTTTTCTCTGGACCTGTTTGTGGGTCCAGTGGACTATCGTCATGCTGGTCGGTTAGGGTTTAATGCTAACTCTGCTCTGTGAGCTGGCAAGACTATGTGTCGTGATCGCTGGTGCTGGATACTTAGTCCGTAGGCATACGTAGGCAGGCCCTGACGTCGCTGCCTTTATTGTAGCAGCCTGAAAATATGCGTTTTTATTACATATCACACATGGAACGTATTTTGGAGCTATTTCAGAAGGATTTGGGAAATAATCAGACAATACTGTCTTCCTGCTGTGTCGCAAGTAATCATGTGATAATAATCAGCACAAGGCTGAGTGTTCAGGTCCTTCCCCTCACAGTGGCACAGTACCAGGGTGTTACATTTCAAAGGATGGCTTTGCACGAGTGTGACTCCTTAACTGCCCCCTTCACCAAAAAATATAAAAGCAACTCAAAACTCAGAAAATGGCACTTTGTCAAGCAGCATCCCTGCTCATGCCTTTCCTCTATCCTTCCACCCTCTTTCTGTTCTTTTCTTTTCCTCAGGAATGTTGTCTTAAAAGAGGTGGTTTCTGCTTTCACTCCCATTTGTTCTCAGCAGGACTCAGTCGAGCCCCGCGTGGAGCCGAGGTGACCTAATAGTGGCTGTGATATACTTGTGTCTTACTTTACCAAACAGAGGGTGCTATCGTTGACAAGATCACTGGTAGCGTTACATGATAAGACAATGCCATCCCTCTGTGGGCCAGCAAGCCTTCAGACAGGAGGAACAATGGCAGCTTTGTCTGTACAGCTCTGTGTGCTGTCTAAAAATATCAAAATGCTTCTTCCTCTCATATCTGATACAGCTCCTCCCTAGTGTCCCACCTAAATCACATACGTGCCCGTATCATTCATGATGGGTTTGTGCAAAACTATTCATGCGACTCTATTACATTAACATGTTTCCAAGGTCCTGTAGTTTCTCAGTGATGTAACGTGAGAAACTGAGCTCTTTTCTCCAGGCAGCAGCAGAATAATACACTCCCAATGTCTTTTTATCGTATCTGAATAGAGTACAGGTCTGTTGGTGTAATGGTCAATGTCTTGAATCAATAGGAAAATACTATCATCTTCATCGTCTGATGTTATAAATGACTACATGTGAAATATA